CAGCTCAGCTAACCTTTTGCAGGAATAAGTCTGGGGCTTTTGGTCCCTGTCCTTCAAGGTCACCCCCTTAAGAACCTTCTCAGGGTCTGCCAGAAAATAGCATCGTCACTCAGGCAGTAAGCACTGCTTCTCATTCCTTTTTCCTTCTTTCTTCCTGAACAGGCAAAGCCTTTGAAGATGTCTCGGCCCAGTGAGTGCCTGCACCTCCATTACCACCTAGACGTTGATGGAGGTGGCAGTGGCAGCAGCAGCAGCAGCAGCAGCAGTGGCTGGAGTTCCCCTGTGGTCGGCCAGCACATTCAATTCAATGAGAGTTCCCTCAGGTAAGAGGAGATAGAGTGAGGATAGGCCACCTTCACCATCACAACTGCCCATGGCAGCCAAGGGCCTCGGCTGCTGCCATGTGCATATTTCTTTCTTCTCCCCATTTTTGGTGGAGACATCACTTTATTGCTTTCTTTCCTCACAAAGGTGAGAATTTCCTGTCCCCAGCACCATCTCTCCCTCCTCTACCCCAATCTGGCCTACTGCTGCCTTCACTCTCTGAGAATAGGAACTAGGGAGGGGCAACTTTGAGCATAGAGAAGGCCAGGTACCCTAAGACCTCAAGCTGGGCAGGGAACAACCCCTCTCAGCCATGGAACTCTTTTCCCTAGCCCCAATGAACATGGTTCTTAGAGTGAGTTTCAGGGCCCAGCAACAGCACAGGAAGCCACTTGGGTCAAGGGCCTGTGGGGGAGGAGACAGCTTCAGGTGGCTCTTAGCTTTTCTCATACCTCATCATGGTAGTTTAATTTGGAAAGAGGGACTCCCTGGCCCATGGGACCTGTGGCTTGGTTCAATCTGGCCTCTCCTGTGAAAAATTATTCATCTGTTTAAGGAATAAGAACAGGAACAGAGGGCTTTAGGTATCATTTCTTTTCATCCTCAAAGTCTCCAGCCAAGTCTCATTCCCCTCTTGGCCCTTTCCCCTCCCTTTTTTTTTCACCCTTTATTTTTTCCACTCTCCTATCTTTGCTCTTCATACTTGCTGTCCCCCAGGACTCTGAGGAGGAAGTCAAGTAGGGTCAAAGGCCTCTCACCATCCCCTCTCCTGGCCAAAATCACCTTCAGCACCCTGGATCCTCCTCAGGATATATCTCTGAGGATGACTGTGCAGGTAGGCATCACTTCTCCCTAGAGCCCCATCCCCCAGGCACTGCCCCACTCACTTCAAAGGGTGACCCATCGCTGGGGGCAGGGAAGAGAGCTCTGCAGTCTGGCTCTAGATGGGGGTTGGGAGGGTGGGAGTGCTCAAACCCTCAAGCCTGGTAATGGGGATGCTCCAGGTCCACTTGTCTCATTTCTTCCCTCCCCTGCAGGGCACTCGCTTTTGGACCCGCCTGGCTCTGCATCCAACATAAAGAATGGTGCCTCCCAAGTTGGCCCTTCCTTGTGGATGGCCATCCACTTCTCAGGTGTGTTCTGCCAGTGGGTGGGTACAGTGCCCAGGGTAGTTCCTGCAGTGCACCTAGAAGAGATTCCTCATTCCTATGTAGGGACATGCTGGGCCCGGCTAGAGTAACTCTAGGACAGCGTGTAGAGATGGGCTTAATAGAGAAAGATCCCCAAGCACAGCTAGAGAGCCCTGGGAGGATGCAAGACCAGAATCCAAAGAAGCGGCTTCAGAGCTGGCAGGCTGGAAAGGGGCTAGCTCTGGGACATGATGGGCTTGCAGGGTGAAGCCTTTCAATCTCTCTGCTGGGACTTTTGCAGGTTGGCTCTTTGGCCTGCTCCGCTGGTGCCTTCATAACACCTGGTACTGCCTGACCACAGCTGTCTCCCTGCAGGACATCTATGTTTTCACCAGGTCAGTGAGGACTACCTGGGGCCTGCCAGAATCAAAGATCCACAGCTCCAAAGGACTCCACAGTCCTTGAGATCAATTTCCCCATGTGCTTTGCCCTGTTCCTTTTCAGCTTTTTCAGACTTTTATGCCATGAATGTTATGACAGAGTAAGGTAGGGTGTGCTGAAACCAGCTGGAAACTGCTTGTGAAAGTCAGCTACCATTCAGGCCTTGATTGAGTGTCTCCACTGAAGAAGATGATGGGAAAAGTGGGTTCTGTGTGCCTTGCCCTCCTCCAGAGCTGGTTGTTCATCATTCACCGGCACAGGCCAGCCCCCATTACCTTTGGTTCTTCAGGGAAGTGGGTTGGCTCTCACTATCGGGGGGATTATCTTCCTGAGTATCTTTTAGGAGCTCTCTCCTCAGTAGTTCCTGCCTCTGATCACAACTGACTCTGGTGAGTTCACCTTTCCTAGTCTGAGGGTCCTGAGTTTCCAGGGACACTCCCTACTTTGGGTTTGAATCCAGAATTTTCTTCCCAGACCTCCAGGTTGCCAGGTCATTCTTGCAGTTTCTCAGTGGAGGAGCACGCCCAGGATTCTAGGCTGCCTCCAGGGCTGAGTCCAGGAACCTCTAGAGCAGGGGTGGTAGCGCCTCCTCAGTGGCCACATGCTGGCGCTAGGTCCTTGGTTGAGGCCTTTTGACTGAGTTCAAATTCTATGGAACAAATCCTTTTCTGAAGGGGATTGATTCTGTGAACCGTGGCCACACTGGAGGACCTAGAGGGATACATATGTCCTCAAGGCCTGCAGGTTGGCCACCCCAGCCCTGGATTCCTGGGGCCACAGGCTGGGCCAATGGTGACAAACCCACTTTAGCAGGGATTCCTCCTGCAGCTCTTCCAAGTCCAAATTGACAATAACTGTAAGGATTTAGAAAGAATAAGATTATCTAATTGAAGGAGACATCTTCCACTTGACCTCACAAAGGGCAGCATGTCACCTATCATAACAACATGAATACATTTCACAAAGGCCAAGTTTTCTACTCGCACTTTACCCTGAGGGCTGTCCATTAAACCCCAGGTCTCCACATGTTCGGTGCCCAGTGGCAAGGGGTAAGTGTGAGGGGGGCACACACTTTGGGTGTTTCATTTGGCACTCAGAGAGGGTCTCACCAGATCCTGTGATGGGGAAGGGCAGGCACTAACATCTCCTTCATCACAATGAAATCCAGGAGCTTTTCCACCGGAAAGAAGTTGCTCCTCTCTGTCTTGGGGATGCTGTTGCTTGTGGCTTCACTGGATTATGGTGAGCATACTTGAGTCCCTAGGGCAGCTGGGGTGGGCAGTTAGGGTAGGGGGGGACAGATAAGGCCTTGGGGACAGGGCAGCCAAAGGAAAGTTTTGAAGACAGAGCTTTGAAGGGGAGCCTTTAGGGAGCCAAAGGGACAAAAACCCTGACAAAAGGGAACCAGGTCACGTATGGGCAAGTTCTCATGCCTAAAATGTGAGAGTTATGCCTTGTCTCTCATTCTCCTCTCCATTCAACCCAACAAACATTTATTGTGCATTTTCTATATGCAGGCCTCAGAGCCTCAGGCTACAGGGTATGGGTGGTTGTGCTGCCCACTTTGAGGATGTCCTGCACTTTAAGCAAGGAGGTGTTTTATCTGTGCCCTCCGTGGTCACTGACAAGGCACTGGAGGGTGGGGGATTGGTAGAGGAGCTGAGTTAGGAAGGAATTGGTTATGAGGGCAGGACATGCCCATTGCCAGGTCTGGAGGGCTTCATCCCTTTTCTTTGGTGAGAACAGGCAGGGTGGTCCTCCCTGGATGATCCCAGAAGGGCTGGACTCTTGGTCAGGAGCCATGACATTACTCAGCCCTGAGATAAAGTCCACCTCAGAAATTAGGACACCACAACCCGACGGTCACCAGGGTCTGTCCGCAGGCAGCCTCTCTGTAGAGCATCCTGGTCCTCATTCAGAAGGACATGGCTCTGTGTTGACCAGGCTTGGGACCAGGAGGCAGGACTTCTGGCTTCAGTCTCCATGTCCTCTCCCCAGCTTATTCTTATCCCTCATTTTTGCCATCATCCAAATGTGTCTAATGACTTCTGAGAGGATCATGAGAGAGTGAACTCTTGGGGTAGAAGGGACTCTAGCTGTAGCCTTCCAGATCATGATGCCCCTCATGCATCTGCCTCCATTGGGCTGGGGTCTATGCCCCCATAGATGTGACACTGCCAGAGTCAGTCCGGATGGAGTTCTGTTCTGGCTCTTGAGACTCTGCCTCAGATTAGCCTTTCTTCCCATGTGCTAGATGCTTGGTATTTCTACCCCTCTGGAATCTGGCCCTTCCACCCTGCTATGTTCTCCTGGTGGGCAGTGAAGGGTAGCAGCAGGAGAGAGGATGTGTGGGAATCAGAAGAATTCACACCATATTTCCAGGTGAGCGCCCCACTGAGTGCCAGGAAAGCTTTGCACAGGACAGACAGACAACTCACTCACCATCCAGTTCATTTCTCTCAACCCAGGGTTACTCAGCCAAGCAGCACTTATTAATCACGGCCTACTGTGGGTCAGGCACTGTCCCAAGGCAAAACCAAACAAACAACCCCACAGTCCTTGCCCTTGAGGATGCCTCATGAGGAGACATCTAGGTACAAACAAGATCTAACAGGACAAATGGGAGTGAAGCATTAGAGGGTGTTGGCTCTGCTTTTTCTCATAGGGCAGCCATACAGCCTATTGCCGTGCCCTCCTTGAAGGCAACCCTGGTTTGGCAGAATCTGCTAGCTGGTGTCCTCTGGTGCCACTGTCTTTGAGATCCCAGGGTCAGCTCTGCAGGCGTCAGAGGAGGGAGAAGCCACATTAGCCGGAGAAAGCTGCTTTTGTTTTCATTCTTTTAATGAACAAGAATCTATTTTGTTTTCTTCCCACCTCCTATCCATTTGAAAAACTGAAAAACAAATCACTTGTTACAAACGTACAGAGACAAGCAAAACAGTTCCTCCTTGGCCATGTCTAAAAGATGTATTTCTCCTTCTGCCTTGAGTCCATCCCCTCTGTCAGAAGTTGCATCATTTGCCAGAAGAGTAGTTGATCACTGCCTTCAACAGAGTTCTGAAGTCTTTCACAGTGGTTTGTCTTTGTGCTTCTGCTCACTCTTCTCCACATCAGTTCATACAAGTCTTCCCAGCTTTCTCTGAACACCACCCCTTTCATTATTTCTAAGAGTATGGTAGATTCAAACCCTATTCAATCCCTACTCCATAATTTCTTTTTTTCCAACTTCATCATTTGTTCAGCTCTTGCCAAGTGGGGGGGTTTCCAGTTTTTTGTCACAGCAAGAAAAATTGGCCATCAATATTCCTGTCCATATCGGACTTTTTCCTCTTTGATCTCTTTGGGGGATAGGCCTAGGAGTTGTCTTGCAGGTGAGTGAGTAGACATGTTTTATTATCTTTGGGGGCAATGCTCATAACTAGTTTCCAGAATGGCTGTACTAGTTTCCAGTGTCTACTTAGAGCATTGTTGTTGAGTCATGTCTGGTGAGGTGTACTTTTCACCATTCCATTTGGGAATTTTCTTAGCAAAGATCCTGGAGTGGTTTCCCATTTCCGTCTCCAGGTTATTTTTAAAGATGAGGAAATGGAGGCAAACGGGGTGAATTATCTTACCCAGGATCACACAGCAACTAACTATCTGAGACCAGGCCTAGAGTTCTACGCACTCTAGTTGAACAGTAATGTGCCTGACTTCTCACAGCCTCCTCAACTTACGTTACTTTGCCTGATTGTCCTCTTTGCCAACCTGACGGGTAGAGGGTAGAATCTTAGAGTTGCCTTCATGGGCATTTCTCTACTTATTCGTGATTCAGAGCATTTTTTTCATTTGGTCATTGATCCCTTGTATTTCTTCTCTGAAAAATGCCTGTTCATAGCCTTTCACTATTTGTCTACTGGACAAAGCACCACAGACACCTGATGGGGGGAAAGCCAGCAGGTCATTTTGTCTTATTTTTTCTTCCTTTCCAGTAGGATTGACATCAGCTTTCTTCAGCTCTGTGTTCCACCATTTTTACTTAAATTCCTTTTTTTTTTGTATAAGAAGCTCCACAAAATTTTATTTTGGTCACATTTCCAAGCATTTTTTCTTCTTCTTCTTTTTAAAAAATAATTAATTAATTGATGGTTTTTAAGATTCACTTCCATAAGATTTTGAGTTTTAAATTATCTCTCCCTCCCTCTCCCCTCCTCCCAAGATGGTGTGCAATCTGATACAGGCTCTACTTATACATTCATGTGAAGTATATATTCCCATCAGTCATGATGTAAAGTACAGTTAGAACTAATGGGAGGAACCATGAGAATGAAGCAATAAAACAAAACAACAAAGTAAAAGGAGATCAAATAGTATGCTTCCATCTGTATTCAGACTCCATTGTTCTTTCTCTGCATGTGGGTAGCCTTTTCCATCATGAGTCTTTTGGAGTTGTCTTACATCCTTGCATTGCTAAGAAGAGCCAAATCTATCAAAGTCAGTCATCACAGAGTATGGCTGTTACTGTGTACAATATTTTCCTGGTTCTGCTCATTTCCCTCAGCATCAGTTTATATAAATCTTTCTAGGTTTTTCTAAAGTCCACCAGCTCATCATTTCTTATAGCACAATAGGATTCCACCACATTCACATACCACAACTTGTTCAGCCATTCCCCAGTTGATGGGCATCCCCTCAATTTCCAATTGTCCTCCACTACAATAAAAGCGACTAATTTTTTTGTACATGTGTGTCTTTTTCCCATTTTTTATGATCTCTTTGGGAAACAAAAGTAGAAGTGGTATCACTGGGTGAAAAGGTAGGCACAATTTTTGAGCCCTTTGGGCATAGTTCCAAATTGCTCTCCAGAATGGTTAGATCAGGTCACAACTCTACTGACAATGCATTAGTGTTCCAATTTTCCCACATTTTCTCTAACATTGACCATCATCCTGTTTTGTCACATTAGCCAATCTGATAAGTGTGATGTGGCACCTCAGAGTCCTGTTGACTTGCATTTTTCAAATCAGTAGTGAGTTAGAACATTTTTTCATATGGTTCTAGACAGCTTTAATTTCTTCCTCTGAGAACTGCTTGTTCATATCCTTTGACCATTTATCAATTGGGGAATGACTTGTATCCTTATCATTTTGACCCCATTCTCTACATATTTTAGAAATGAGGCCTTTATCAGAGACCCTTGTTGCAAAAATTCTCTCCTGGTTTTCTGCTTCCCTTCTCATCTTGGATGCATTGGCTTTGTTTCTGCAAAAAAACTTTTCAATTCAATGTAAGCAAAATTATCCATTTGGCATTACATATAATGTTCTCTATCTCTTCTTGGGTCATAAATTCTTCCCTTCTCCATAGATCTGAAAGGTAAACTATTCCTTGCTCTCCTTGTTTGGTTATAGTCTCATTCTTTATATTTGAATTCTGCCCCCATTTTGACTTTATCTTGGTATAGGATGTAAAATGGTGGTCTCAGCCCAGTTTCTGCCACATTCTTTTCCAGTTTTCACAGTAGGTTTTGTTAAATAGGGATTTCTGATCCCAAAAGCTGGAGTCATTGGATTTCTCAAATAGTAGATTAGTATGGTCAATTGACTGTTGTGTCTTGCCTACTTAAACTATTCCACTGATCCCCTATTCTGTTTCTTAGCCAGTACCAAGTAGTTTTGATGCTTGCTGCTTTATGATACAATTGAAGAGCTAGTAGAGCTGGGCCACCTTCCCTTGCATTTCTTTTCATTAGTTCCCTTGATATTCAGTACCTTTTCTTCTTCCAGATGAATTTTGTTATTGTTTTTTCTAGCTCTAGAAAATAATTATTGGTAGTTTGTTTGGTATCACACTGAATAAATAAATTAATTTAGGTAGAATTGTCTTTTTTTACCATCTGAGCTTAGCTTAGTCATGACCAACTCCTATTTTTCCAGTTGTTTACATTTGACTTTATTTGTTTTGGCAGGTAGACTCTGAAATATTTTATGGTGCCTACAGTAATTTTAAATGGAATTTCACTTTCTGTCTCTTACTGTTGGGCTCTGTTAGTTATATATGAAAAGATTAGGGAGGAATAAGATTGTCCATGTGACTTAAGAGCTGAGTTTGAAACTTTCTCAGGGACTAACAAATGACCTCACCACTCTGGGGACAGTGGTTTGTGCCTAATCCCAGCTGACCTTGGAGGCCTCTTGGTGGGATGGTAGAAGAGGAGCCCAGGCTCTGAAAGTCTAGCTGGGACTTAAGGTCAAGATTTCTGGAGCCCAGCAGTTTGTAGCGACTCATATCCTCCTCAGCAGACAGGGCCCAGCCATAGGAGGCCAAGCCCCAGAGTGCAGCGCTGATGTTTTCATCAGTTTCATTATGTCTCTTTTTCCTTACAGGAGCTGGAAAGCGGGGTGCTCAGCACATGTCTGAGTGGCAAGGGTAAGGCCCCAAACTGACTGACAAAGAGAAGAGGAGGGCAGGAGGGCAAGAAAGCTACACCAGGGAAACAGTTGCCTGGGGGGTTGAGGGCAGGTCAGTGGAGCCAGAACACTTGGGTTAGCATGTCCATAGGCTTGATCCCATCTAGGAGGGACCTCAGAGTGCAGATGAGGTTACTGTGGCCCCAGAGGGAAATGACCTAGCCAGGGTCCCCCAGGGAGCAGATGTCAGTGAAGCCTTGCAGCCAGTTCTGTGGCTCTGTGCTTTCCATTGGGTGGTGCTTTTCTTCAGGTGACACTTGTTCTGTTGGAGTCCATCCTCCAAGTGCCTATGCCAAGGTTGATCCTGAGTTTTCCTTTTGTCACTGGCTAGTTTGTCCCAGGAAGACTCCCAGGACAAAAGGCCAAAGGAGATGGCTTCCCTGGAGGCCCAGCTGGCTGGCCTGAGGCAGGAGCTGGCGGCCATCAGCCAGAGACAGGCTGCAATGGCCCAAGAAATCCACCTTTGGCGAGAAAAGATGGTGGCCCTGCGCAGTGATTGAGTCCCCTGGTTAAGCAATGCATGCCCCTTGATCTCAGGTGGGCTGCTGCTGCCCGGATAGCTGCCCAGGGAGCTGCAACCATCTGAGGTTTCCACAGGGCACTTGCTAAAGATTGAGCCTCTTGGGGGGACATTGTGACATGGACGAGATTTTCCTCATCTGTCAAGTGGGATAATATCAGGTCCCAATGAGATCTTTTCTGCAAACCTCAAAGGCAGTGGAGAAATGCCAGTCCTTTGGTTCACCACCATCCCTTCTCTGGCACCAGGCAGGCATGTGCTGGCCCTGACCTCTCAGATGTCTCTAGACATGCCAGGCCCTGTCCAGGCCCTCTTCCTTCCTCCCCTGCTGTTTCTCGGGTGCCTGCTGAGCTGTTTCCTCTGGTGGCTTCTAGATGGAGTCTCACGTCCCAGCTTTAATCCAGGAATACTTTGTTGGAGACAAGGGCACTAAGGCCGGACTTACACAGCTAGAGGAGGTGCAGGCTCAGCTTTGGGACCTGGAGCAAAGACTCCTCAGGCATATGGCAGAGGAGCAGGACAAGACTGCCAGCAAAGTTGCTGCTGACTTGAGGCTGACCCTTCTGGAAGAAGGAGTGACCACGGGGGTGACAGAGGAGGTGAGCCTGGCCCCTCTGCCTGTCTCCTGCTTAGGGTCATGGTTTGCCCTGAGAGGAGCCTGCCAAGAGGAAGGGGGAAGCCCAGGCTGAGCAGGTAGCATGCTTGCCCATCCCCTACAGGGGCTGGGCGGAGCCTGCAGGTGGCCCAGCCCACGAGGGTGCATGCCTGTCTTTTAGGAAGTGCGTGAGATCGTGCGGCAGGCCCTGAAACTGTATAGTGAAGATCGCATTGGGCTGGTGGATTATGCCTTGGAGTCCTCAGGTAGGTGACCTACAGAAAACCAGAGGGCTTTGGGACAAGAGGGAATGCAAAATCAGGATAGCCATTAGGAGACAGGAAGAAATGACAACTGGGGATGCCCTTCCTGGGCTGGGGCATTTAGGAGGGAAGATGCCCCCGTAGTGCCCTCTCTCCTTGAGGGTTACCCTAAGCCATCTCTGTGTCCTGCCAGCCCTTGGGTTGCCCCCTCCACCTTTTCTCTCTGTTGCTCTTTCAGGGGCCAGCATCCTCAGTAGCCACAGCTCAGAGACCTATGGCACCAGGACGGCCGTAATCAGTCTGTTTGGTATCCCCTTGTGGTATCATTTCCAGACCCAAAGAGCCATAATCCAGGTAGGGCTGAAGAAAGGTTCCCCAGCTTGGCTCTCTGCCTGCCATCTCCCCCTCCTCTGTGGGGGCTGGGCCCTCAAAGCACAGGGGCCCCAGGATCTGCATCTGGCCCATGCGCCGCCACCTTTCACATGATTTGTCTTCCACCCACAGCCAAATGTCTACCCCGGCAACTGCTGGGCATTCCGGGGCCCCCAGGGCTTTGTTGGGGTTCGCTTGTCTGCCCGCATCCACCTCACTGCCGTCACTTTGGAGCACGTGCCCAGAGCCCTGTCCCCAGTCAGCAACATCACCAGCGCCCCCAAGGACTTCGTCATCTTGGTGAGTACCTGAGCCTGGCAGCTCTCCTTTCGCGAAGTATGGAAAGCCCTTTCTTAACAGCAGCAGCATTTCGAGGTGAAAAATGGAAGGATGTGCCCATTGTACAGAGGTGACATTTAAGGCTGGCCTCTTCACTCCTCGGGCCAGGCCTGTTGCTCCTCCTCCTCTTCTTAGGGAGGAGCCAGGAAAAGACAACCACAGCAGCAAGAAGCAGAAGATTGCAATGTGCCTTAGGGTCCTTTATTGTAGCCAGTGGCCTCCATGAGCAGGTGTCCCCTGGGCGACTTGGGCAGGGACGGGATCGCCATTCCCTACAGAGTCACCTAGACAGGGCAGACATGGAACAGCCACATAAGGAGGATTTGGGAGAAAAGATGGAGCCAGAAGAGAAGGTGAAATATGCAGAGGGACAGGGATACTTCAGGCCCCAAATCCTGATACAGATGAAGAAAGTGAGGCACACAAGCTGAAGGGGTTTCTCCCAAGCCATTCAGCAGCTTTGGGGAAGAGGCTGAGAAGAAGGCCAAAGGGCTGGGAGCAGAAAGGCTCTGTCTATTGAATTAGTGAGAGAGATGCTAGAAGATGAGGGGATCGAGAAAGGCAACGTCAGGGTGGATTGTCTTTGCTTCTCTTTCCCTCCCAACATACCCTCCTTGTCTGCCGCCTCCTCTCCCTGCCACCTCCCGCGTTTTTCCCTCCATGGGCTGATTTGGATTCTCGTCCTAATAGCACCTCTTTCCTGCACCCCACTGCGGCCATCCATTTGTCCATCCTTCCATTCCCCTTGTTTTTCCTTCTGTGCAGGGGCTCAGTGAAGATTCCCAGGTGGAAGGGGTGGCCCTGGCGAAGTTCACCTATGATAATGCTGGGGAGGCCATTCAGACCTTCCACTTTCAGGTATGGAGGGCTCGTCCCACATCACTCACCCAGTGACCCAGGCATGCTGCTGACCTCAAGGGCTGGATCACCAGCCATGAGGACGCTGTGGCTCGGCAAGTGGCTGCAGTGGAAGCCAGGTCCCAACAGGTCTGAGAAGAAGCTGAGGGATAAGCTTAGGGCTCAATTCAGCCACTGCTCTTGGAAGGAAGCCTGGGCAGAAAGCCTGTGGGGGCTGGGCATCCATGAAGGGATCTCGGGTCTCCCTGACCCACTCTCCTCTTCCCACAGGGCAACGGCACAGCCCCATACCAGCTGGTACAGCTTCAAGTTTTGAGCAACTGGGGTCACCCGGACTATACTTGCATTTACCGCTTCCGGGTCCATGGCAAGCCTGCCAATTAGAACCTCCCTGCCGGGTCCCTTCACCCTTTCCTCTGTCAGCCACAAGCAAGCAGTTCTCCCACCTCCTCGTCCCTTCTGGCCACTGTGACTTCTGGGAAAGAGACAGAACGTGGGAGCCCACCTCCCTGGAGCCATCTTGCCCCACCAAGCCCTCTATGATATGGATGAGACCACCAGCTGAGCAATTTCTGTTTCAATCCACAGCATCTGCAGTGTCAGGTGCCTCAGCTCCCTGCCAAGCCCTGCCTACCTCCAAGACGTGTAGAAATAGCTCTGTATTAGATGTTGGGGGGGTGGTAGGGAGTAGTGAGGGCCTTGCTATGCTCAGCAGCAGTCCCACAGAAACACAGCTTACACCACCCTGGGTCTAGGGCAAGGAATTTGGTGCAGTAAGGGCATGATAAACTGGGCAGCGGCAAAGGGCAGACTGGGAGCCAGTCCCACATGGGCACACTCCAGCAGGTGGCTAATGCCGCTCTCCATGGGACCTTGCATGGTTCTCTTTACCACTGGCCATGATGGGTGCAGTCTTTGAAATCCGAAGTACCTGGGAATGACCGCACCTGTCTGTGCTTTTGATTCTAACAAGGCCAATGGCCTGGATTTCAGGGAAGTTCTGCCCCCAGGATTACCTGCACTGGCATTTAGTACGGCAGCTGGGGATGTACCCATGGCTTGGTGGCCCCTCCTACCCACTGGGGCTTCCTTTAGAGAGGACTGGAAGGTTGCAGGTGTGTGGCAAAGGCAGTAGCATTACATACACAAGTTATGAATTAGCTACTGCTGAAAGGAAGCTGGGTCCAGAGTACAGCTACCAGCCATGGGGAGAAGAACTTCCCCTATGCCGCTGGTACGAGATTTCTCCTGCCTGCCCCTCGAGAGCCCAGAGACCCTCATTCTCCACTCTAACCCTAACACTAACAACAACCCTAATCCAAATTGGGCTCTAATGCTATACCTAACACTAATCCCTAACACTAACCCTTACCCTAATCCTAATAATCTTAACACTCACCTTACCTGTAACCCAAACCCTAACCCTAACCCTAACACTAACAATAACCTTAATATTAATTGGGCTCTGTTCCTATACTTAAGGCTAACCCTAACGCTAAACCTAACCCTAACTCTAATTGCACTCTAACCCTAAACATAAATCTAACCCTAATCCTAACCCAAACCTTAACCCTAACACTAACAATAACCTTAATATTAACTGGGCTCCATTCCTATACTTAAGGCTAACCCTAACGCTAAACCTAACCCTAACTCTAATTGCACTCTACCCTTAAACATAAACTTAAACCTAACCCTAACCCTAACCCTAATTGCACTGTAATCCTAACCCTAACCCTAACCCTAACCCCAACCCTAACAATAACCCTAATATTAATTGGGCTCTAATCTTATACCTAACACTAACCCCAACACTAACCCTAAACCTAACCCTACCCCTAACAAAAACCCTAACCATAACCCTAACTCTAATCGAATTCTAATAATGCTCTAACCCTAACCCTAACACTAACACTAACTGCGCTCCAACCCTAATCCTAACCATAACATTAACCTTATCCCTTACTCTAACTCTAATGATAATAATTCATTTCTAACAATAAACCTACTCCCTTTCTAACCCTTTTTAACCCTAACACTTTCTGTTCTGACACTAAGGCTAATCCCCACCAACCCTAACCCTAAGCCTAACTCGAACCCTAAAACTACTCCTAACACTAATTTCTCCCTGACTCTCACCCTCACCCTAACACTGAACCTAACCTTAACCCTAAGTGCACTTGAACCCTAATCCTAACCTCAAGCCTAATTACACTTAACCCTAACCCTACCCCTAACCTTAATTGTGCTCTGACCCTAAACCTGACCCTAACCCTAAACCTCATTCCTAACCATAACCCTGAAACCTAACACTAAAACTAACCCTAACCCTAACAATAACCTTAACACTAACCCAAGCAATAACCCTAATCCTAAATGAGCTTTATTTCTATACCTAACACTAACCCAAATGCTAACCCTAACCCTAACTCTAATTGCACTCTACCCCTAAACATAAAACTAAGCCAATCCTAACCCTGAGCCTAATTGAACTCTGATCCCAACCCTAACCCTAACTCCAACCCTAACCTTAATCCTAACCTTAACCCTAACACTAACAACAACCCTAATCCAAATTGGGCTCCAATCCTATACCTAACCTCACCCTAACACTAACCCTAACCCTAATAAGCTGTTCACTCTAACCCTAATGCTAACCCTAAAACAAATCCTAACCCTAACAGTGCTCCAACCCTAACCCTAACCCTAAACCTAATACTAACCCAAACCCTAACCCTAACCCGAACACTAACAATAACCTTAATATTAATTGGGCTCTATTCCTATACCTAACGCTAACCCTAACGATAAACCTAACCCTAACTCTAATTGCACCCTAACCCTAAACATAAATCTAACCCTAATCCTAACCTTAACCCTAATGTACTCTAACCCAAATCCTAACCCTAACACTAACACTAACCACAGCCCTAACCCTAACCCTAACCCTCACCCTCAACCCTAATTCCAATGTAACCCTAAACCTAACCCTAACCTAACCCTAACACTATGACAGTAAGCTTCGCAGTAACCCTAACCCTAACTGCACTCTAACCCTAACCCTGAAGTTTATTGTCATAGTGTTAGGGTTAGGGTTAGGGTTAGGGTTAGAGTGGAATTAAGGTTGAGGGTTAGGGGTTACAGTTAGGGTTAGGGTTAGGGATATGGTTAGGATTAGGATTCAATTTCATTTAGGGTTTGGGTTAGGGTTAGGTTTATATTTAGGGGTACAGTGCAATTAGAGTTAGGGATAGGGTTTGGTTTAGGGTTAGAGGGCAATTAGGGTTAGGATTAGGGTGAGGGTTAGGGCTATGGTTAGGGTTAGAGCACAATTAGGGTTAGGGTTAGGTTTAGAGTGCAATTAGAGGTAGGGTTAAGTTTAGTGTTAGCATTAGGTATAGGATTAGAGCCCGCTTAGGATAAGGTTTATTGCACCAATTTCTACTGCCTGGGTCCTCTGACCAATCCTTGAACTGTCATAGCAAGCAGGTGTGTATACTTAAAGTAACATCTTAGGGTGGGATTAGTCAGGTAACTTGATAGCAAACAGGTGTGTCTAATTAAAGTATCACTTGAGGGCTGGGATTAGCCAGGAGGGCCTCCAGGGTGATTGTTAGCTTTCAGTATTTAAACTGGACCCTCCAACTAATAAAGGCTCCAAAGCCAAAGAGGTAAGAGACAGGTAGCTCTCTTGGAAACTCTGGAGAAAAAACCCTTGGCATCTCTGCACTATGAAAGAAGGTCCTTGGCGCTCAAGCTGTGCAATCAAGGTAAAGAGAGGGAAGGTCACAACACCCTATCTTTTAGCAGTTTTAGGGGTCAAAGGACACCAGGGTAAAGTGGGGATATAGGCAAAAGAAAAGAAAAAAGGCTTCGTAATAGGAACGTAAGAAAAGAAAAGGGCTGCAGCATGAGAAGAGTATCCCTTTGGAAGGCCAGGAGCACTTACTGAAGGTTTTGGGAGGCACACCTGGGATTGAAAGTATGGGTCAAAACACAAAGCAGAGCAAAGACAGAGAATATGATCTACAACTTTTCAAGGAAATAGTGAAAGAAAGATGGTCAGTTACAGGAATTTTTGGAATGTGTAGAAACATGCTGCCCGTGGTTCTTTCAGGAAGGAAAAATAGACTTAAAAATATGGGAAATGGTGGGCAGATACATGAGTGAATATTATAGAGAAGTAGGTCCAGGTGCTTTCTCCATAGCTATATTCTCAAATTGGGCCGTGTTAAAAAATATGTCTCACTCCTCCAGAGGATGTGGTATTAATAACAAAAATTGTTCAGGTAGATGTGGGGTCAGGGACGGAGGAAGAAGAAGAGATGTATAGAATATTTGAGGAAAAGCTTAGAATTGTAGAAGATGTTATCTATGCAAAATCTATTACACCTTCAGCACCACCACATCCTTCACCTTCACATAGATCAAGCTCCTACAGAGAAGATAGTGAGGAGATAAATAAAGATCAAAAAAGCCATAGAATACATTGTAAAGGGTTATTAGCAAAAGCAATTATAGAAGCAGAGGAAAAGGGAGAGGAAGTACCCATGGAATTCAAATGAGCTGTGCCAAAAACCATGCTATTTCCAGTATATGGGGGAGGAAGATGTAAATAACCCAGGTACAAACATGAGAGTTCATAGACAGTTTGAATTTAAATTGTGAAAGGAATTAAAAGAGGCTTCAGTTAATTATGGATGCAATACAGCATTAGCCCCATATGACTGGTATTCTATACTAAAGATATGTCTTGATCCTGGAGATTATTTCATTTGGGAGCCAGAATATTGTTTTTAATATAAAGGTATTTATTTTTCGTTTTCAACATTCACTTCCACAAGTTTTTGAGTTCCAAATTTTTGCCCCATCTCACCCCACCCCCACCCCAAGATGGCATGCATTCTGAATATCCCTTCCCCTAGTCTGTCCTCTCTTCTATCTCTCCCCCCTTCTCTTATCCCCTTCCCCTTCTATTTTCCTGTAGGGCAAGATAGACTTCTATACCCCATCTCCTGTATTTCTTATTTCCCAGTAACATGTGAAAACATTTTTTTACACATGTGTTTTTACCATTTTAGGTTTCAAATTTTCTCTCTTCTCCCTCCCCACCCACCCTCACTGAAAAGGCAAACAACTCAATATAGGTTATACATGTGCAGTTATGCAAAACACTTCCATAGTAGACATGTTGTGAAAAACTAACTCTGTTTCCCTTAATCCTATCCTGACCTCCCATTTATTCTGTTCTTTCTTTTGACCCTGTCCCTTCTCCCAAGTGTTTGCTTCTGATTACCCCCTTTCCCAATCTGCCCTCCTCTCTCTCATTCCCCTGCTCTCTTGTCCCCTTCTCCCCCTATTTTCCTGTAGGGTAAGATAGATTTCCATACCCAATTGAATGTGCATGTTATTCCCTCCTTAAGCTAAATCCTGTGAGAATAAGATTCACTCATTCCCTCACCTTCCTCTGTTTCCCCTCCACTGTAAGAAACTTTTCTTTTCGTCTTTTTTTTTGTGAGATAATTTACCCCATTCTGCTTCTCCCTTTCTTCTTCTCTGAGTATGATCTTCTCTCATCCCTTAATGTTATTCTCCAAATATGACACCTTAATCTTCAACTCACCCTGTGCCCTCTATCTATCTATCTATACATATACATATATAATTTTTTTTCCCTTCAACTACCCTAATACTGACAAAGGTCTCATGAGTTATAAATATCATCTTTCCATGCAGGAATGTAAACAGTTCAATCTTAATAAGTCTCTTATGATTTCTCTTTCTTGTTTCCTCTTCATATTCCACTTGAGTCCTGTATTTGAAGTTCAAATTTTCTATTCAGCTCTGGTCTTTTCATCAGGAATGCTTGAAAGTCCTCTATTTCACTGGATGACCATGTTGTCCCCTGAAGGACTGTACTCAGTTTTGCTGGGTAGGTGTTTCTTGGTTGTAATCCTATCTCCTTTGCCCTCTGGAATATTATATTCCATGCCCTGCAGTCCTTTAATGTAGAAGCTGCTAAATCTTGTGTTATCCTGATTGTGTTTCCACAGTACTTGAATTGTTTCCTTCTGGCAGCTTGTAACATTTTCTCCTTGACTTGGGAACTCTGGAATTTGGCTATCACATTCCTGGTTTTCCTTTGGAGAT